GTAACTACAGTGGTGAAAAAGTTAGAATTTTGAATATATATATATATTTTTTTCTTCTTTTTTTTGAAAATTTAACTGAGAATAATACTGTTCCTACTAATAGTTTCTGAATATATTGGGGGCACTGTTACTGCTGGTGGTGGTGATGGTGGTGGTAGTGATAGTGGTGATTAGGGTAATGCTGATAGCTATCTGCATAAATGTTTTTCTGTGTATCTGATTGGTTTTTGTCTGTTTGTCTGTGAGTAATTATTTAGTAGGAGAGGGGTGCTGAGTCAGTTCAGCAGAAAAATGAGCAAAGATGTCTGGGGAGTGAATGCCGCTGTTGAAGATGAAAGATTTATCGGAACGAAAAAGAAAATGCGGCAAAAAAAAAAAAAAAAATTTTTTTTTTTTCTTTTTTTGCCGGCTGATTTCTATTGGAATTTTTTTGTCCCGTTCCAATATCATCGTCGTTCTTCATTTCTGCTACAAATCAGTTTTCTACTTTTGTTGTCGTCTCCATTCAAATCCAATCGTCAGTCCTTATTCTTCTCTCCCCTCCTTTTATTTTCTCCTACTGATTACAGTTCGACATTAAATCAGGCTTTTAACCTTAGTTTCCACTACAATCAGATAATTTGCTTTTTAGCTGGCTACTGTAGTTCTCGTAATCAACGATAGCTTGAGATCCGCACCTCACGTGTGAGTCGTTTTGGTCAAACACAGATTCTACTACCAGTGATAATCAGTTCCTTAAATTTAAGCATTTCAGATTGCCTAAGTTAAGAAGTATTTTGGTTGACTGATCAACGCATAGTTTTACTAAGGAAGTAAGCCAAATGCCAAGGTTGCTCCATTTGAAAAATGTCAACAGCATCTTATGTAAGTTGTAATTTCCCTCGGTCCGAAACTATCTTGCAATGGAGTTTTTCGGAGTAGGATTTGAGGAGGAAATAAGAAGAATTGATGAGATATTGGAGAGGCAACAGATGTGGTTGCTTTTGAAGTCAGTGGTCTCGGGTAATACTCTGACTTGTTGAATCAATATATTTTTTGGTGGGTAGTTAATATGAACGTTTTTCTTCTTTTTTATTGGGCTTAAAAATCCGAGTTTGCTTTTATTCAGTAAAAGCTTTTTCGGCTTAAGTTTTTCACATGTTATATGAATAATAGTTATTTAAATACATATGAATATATATTGAAAAATATATATATACATATTTGTCAAGCATTTGTGCTAAATGAGCGCTAACGAGTAGTATAGGTAAGGTACTGTTTCCTAATTTGCTTCTTTTGTTCAGTTAAATTGTTTTGTTGCAACTCATAGGTAATGACGGTTAAGAATATTTGTGCTAGAAATGCAAACTTTTGAAAGAACTGCAGTTTGGTTAATAGTACTAAAATCAGTGACGTTGATAAACGGGAATGCTTAATGCAGTCACTGCAGACTGTACTTTTAACGGGAAAGAAATGGTGGGTGGCTAGAATATGCTAGAGAGAATAAATTTAGGAACTTTGAGAGGCTAGGGGAGAGGTGAAACACATGCCATTTCAATCCTCTTTTTTCTTTTTGCTTTTTGTTATCGTTGATGTCGTCATCATCGTCATCAACATTGCCATCATTACAACAACGGCAGAGCTGTTGATCGATGAAATGAAAGAAAATACAGCGGGCTAACTTATCCAACGCATAAAGAGGGATTCAGAAGTGGAGGGTTTGAAAAGCAAGACAGGGTTGCTTTGGATAACCGTACCGTAGACGAGAAACACAAAATCGTCATTTTCTTCCACCACTTATCCTGCATCGTTTCTTACTTCTTCTACTTCCTAGTCCCTCTCTCTTCGCTGCCCTTCCCCCTCCCTCCCTCCATCTCTTCCTCACAAAATATTGGCAACATTCAGTGATAATCCTCGGCGTCAGTAACACTAACAGGACAACGATTCAGCGAGAATAAGTATAAAACAGTAGCAGCGTCCAAACGTTGCACTCCTGAAAAATCCAAATAGAATTTGGTTTTCAACATTTATTGATGATTTTCAGTCATCAGTGACGTAACTGGCATACATATACATATATACACATTTATCCATTTATTCTACATTTTAGGTAATAAAGTCAAAAAAGATAGCTTTTTTTGCTTCAAAATGGGAAAAAAAGGTCCTTCTCTCCATTGTTGGTCCCAGCGAATAAGTAAATAAAAATCAATACTGTTTGGGAAAAATTGGAAACCAGTGAAGCTGAAGTTTTCTCTAATTGCAGCGACGTAACGTAAATTGTGCAAAAAGATGAGAAGGCCAGCAGAAAAAAAAAGGATGGGGAAAAGTGTTTGCTTGCAGCGGAAGTTTTTAATGCACAAAAATTTGAGTGATGTTTAATCTTTAATGAGTGAAAATCAACTTTGACAAATGTCAAAAAGGAAAAAAAGCATTTACGTATTTGTGTGTGTGCATTATTTTTTCCATTCCGAACTCGTTTAACAGCTGTTAGGTCAAAAAAAAGAAAAAAGTGAGAAATAAAACTCTAGTCTTTTTCCTTCTGAAGTTACAGAAAACACAGTATGGATGAATCAAAAACGAAGGAAGAAGCTCGCTGACTAGATGGACAAATGGACGGGTGGACGAGAACTTACTGATAGATGAATAGGTGGATGGATAGATAAATAGCTAGTTAGTTAGATAGATAGATAGATAGATGGATAGAAGGGTAGATAGATAGATAGATAGATAGATAGATAGATAGATAGACAGAAAGAAAGATAGACAGAAAGATTGTTCAGTGGATGGATGGGTGTAGGGTGTACGGACGGGTAAATAAACAGATAGATGAATGGTTGGTTGAATTAAAATTAGTGTTTATCAAGAAATAAAAGCAAAAACTTTGGGAACCTTCAGTCAATAATGTTTAAATATAGCTGACATTTCATGTAACAACTAAAGGCATCACTACTGACAAAACAAAAATAGTTATCTGACTATACTTTCGAATAAATGGAATAAAAACAGTCTTGATGGCAACAGTAATATTAATAATAGT